ACTCTTCTCTCTTAACACTCTCTCTCTCTCTCTCTCTCTCTCTCTCTCTCTCTCTCTCTCTCCGACCGTTTACAGTCGAATTGTAATCACCGCTGGCGTTTTTCAAATTCGTTGATTATCGTATTCGCCGACAAAATTTCACTTCGTCGCTTGCCCAACAAGTACTCCTCGCTTTCGTAAGTTTATAATCGTCCGTTTTTTTCTTAAATTTCACGAAAGTCAGTTCTCTGTTGTTTCTCAACGACATACATATGCAGAATTGCTTTTCTCTCCACGCGCTCACGTACAGGATGGACACATTTCGTATTATTCGCGCAAGATAATGGCATTTTTAACCGCACGATCGCGTGCCTCTTCGTACTCGTGAAATTCCCCCTACACACTCTCCTTCGCACGAGCGCTAACGTGACTACATCTTAAACGCATTCTGGAAATTGGCCGCGATATCGACGTCAATTTATCGTCGTCGTGGAACGCGGAACGCCTGGCGGGAGTTACGCGGCTGGCTTGGCCGCTTGCGCACCACTTGTCGTCGTCGCTACAGTAACGCTCGGTACTAGCGGGTGCGAACATTTGAATAATTCGGCCGTTTACAGGCGGACTTACAACGATGCTCGCTCGCATACACCAAGATTATGGCCGCTACTTACTGCGTCGTAGCGATCTTCGAAAGCCAGACGGCCGAGACAGAGAGGGAACCTGGAAAGGAAAGAAAGAGATCAGTCGTGTCCGTTTTCGTGTACCGTGAAAGTGGACGTGACTTTTTTTCAGCGCGTCGACTCTCGCGAGGTGCTTTATGGCGATCGTTTGCGCGCGGCAAATGGCACAGAAACGAGATCGAATGCTACCGCTCGGTGAACCGTCAAGATTGAAATATGATCGAGGGGCGAATGGGTGTTACGGGTCCATTTTATATAAGTGATACGTAAACGTAATTTTATTCGGGAGATTGGAGAGATGCGAATCGATCGGCGGCGACGGCGGCGGGAGTTTATTACCTACGCGCCGGTGTTTTTCTGTGTGCCAAAATATTTTGTGCTGATTATTCACATCGTACAATGTCATTTACAAAGCGGAACTTTAAGTGGACGCGAAATCACGTCGTTCGTTCAAATTTAACGATACTTATCGGCAAACGTGTGCGGCACTGTCCGGCGCACGTTTGTGCAATATGTAAAATTATGAAAATTCATATCCTCGTTTTGCGAAGAAACAAGGAGTTATGAATCGAAGCGCATAAAAAGATCTGCGGTAGGAATAAAATTAGGCCGCGGGCACCGAGATGGATGGCATACTCGCTCCGTAGGTATTTATCTTATGCAAATCGTGCAGTGGCGTAGTGAGCGAATCGTTCGACGCCGCGGACGTTTTTGCCAGCGACTGTATCTGACACAATTTTGTCACGATGAATTTACATTCAGATGGTGCTATCTAATCCGCAGTAAGTTAAAAAATTTACGGCTTTCGGTAAATCACAGGCGGCGCAGGCTGCTTACTCCCGCGGGCGGCAGTCCTGTGCATCTGAATTGTTTATGATCCTGCCATAAAACAATGATATGAGAGATTATAACTCAGCGAATGGCGAAGTTCCTTGTGTATGAGACATTCTCTCACGTTTTCATTCGCGTCGAGTTATACTGTCTCCATTTGTCAGAGATGCTTTGCGCCTACGCTTTTCCCAAAATATATCGACCTCATGGAATAATCCATTTTTAATAAATACCGATAACTTGTTTTTCTTCTAGCATTTAAAGATTCATAAGAAAAAATTTTCTTCATGATTCAAGTTAATGTTTACTGCTATTTTTATGATTTACTATATGTGGAATATTAAAAAAATTGCTTTGTGGTCGTAAAGCGTTGAAGTTATTGTTATTGCGTTCCATTTTGGTTGTCACTATATCAATTTTACGAAAATATCACGGTTGCAAAAGCACTGCTATTTATAAACGTGTTAGAAAAAAGGGAAGGCGTGTGAAAAGTTAATATTAAATATAGCATCAATCATTTCACAGGTATCAATGTAAGGGTTCATACATCCATAAATGATGGCTGTCCGTATGAAGGATATTCAATTTCCTGTGTCGTATGCAACGTTATATCGATCAACTATACATCCAACAAAGCTCTCGAAACGTACTCCTATATTTCGTGAACTTCGACATATTTTTTTATGTGAAATATTCCACGCGTATTTTACGCAACGTGAAAATATTTAACGGATTCATTTCAATAAAAATGATCTTTCTGCAAATATACGAATATATATATATATATATATATATATATATATATTTCGTATCGCTACATTTTTAATATCGATATGTAAACATCGATAAGTTTTAATAATTAAAGTTGTTTTTTTGGCAAAAATACGAGGCTTTTGCACCGCTCGCTATTTTTTCCCCGATATTCTTTCCGCCGACGTTGTTACGCCACTGAGTCGTAATTTACCCGGAGCGTTTATGGCATTGTTGTGAAGCAGTGCTTGGCGTCGTCTTATAAAACCAATTTCGCGGGTATTATGCAAGCTGTCAGTCCTGTAGGTGAGTTATGGCAAACGTAGCCTGCAGCACAAACATGTATTATCGTCTACCAGCGATCCTTATATTTGCATCAACAACATTCGCGTTATAATTTGAAATTACTGCTTCTTGTCTCTGGTGTAACATATGTTATCAATCTGTTTTCCACGCGCACATATTGCCACAAGGATCTCGATTTATCGCACGTGTATTTAATTTGAAGTAAAATTGTAATATCGAATCAAACTGTTCCAGTTAAGAAGTTAAAAAAATAATTGTAAATTTTATTTGTGCAAATAATTTCGTCATTGTAGCAAACGGTCGTTCAGCACGAATATAAATTATTCTAAGCTTTCGGAATGCAATTTTATATTCACGAAATGCGACTGTTAATATAAAATACGGAGTGTATCTGTGAAATTCTCTTATTCACGACACAGCTCACTCCGTTATTCCTGTTTACGGACGGATTCATAAGCGCGCGCGGAGCAGGATAGATAGGTGGAAGTTATTCTGACCATTTCTCAAAGATCGATTGGTCAATAAACCAGCGTGTATACTCCTCACAGCGGCAGGCAGACGACCAGTATCTGAACGTCGTGTTTAACTCCATTGGAATATACGACGCTATATCCGGAATTTCGTTCCAGACCGTTAAGACACTAGATTCCACTTTATCGGCACTGTAATGGTTATATAGCCGTTAAAGTTGCCCCTCATACAACTTTTCCAATCTTATCTTCACGTATGGGTTTCCCCTCTCCCACCCTCTTGCTCTCACCCTCCCCCCCAATCTTCGCCCGGTCTTCCCCATCGGCGAGGAAAAGCGGAAAGGATTTAGTTAAATTGGACTGCATGCGAGGAGTCGTCGGTGAGATTTGTTCGAGCATCAGAGAGCGCTGACCGTTGTAAAAGTGTTCCCTGCAAAGGCGCGGGCGCGGGCAAGAGGATTGAACGGGCGATCGGGGGGCGGGAGAGGAAAAAACGTCTTTCACCTTTCTTTCTATTTGGGGTTGCCATTGAGCGCGCGGTGACCAGGCTGTCGATACGTGCTCGGCATCCAAGCACGGTTCTCCCACCTACTTCTCCAATGACCGGACTCGTGATTGTATGGTATTTCTTGTTAGATTGCTGGAATCTGCCTAAGTCGATTCGTTCTCCGACCAGCTCCTTCAAAGGTATTCCCGTGGCTCTTACCGTTTGTCGATATTTGCACGTTTATTGATATCCGGAATCGAGCCGATCGCGGCGTGATGCTTAGTGACGACGGGCGCGTCGTGATTCAATTAACATTCATGCTTGAATTTAATGCATTTCCAATGGTTAAACATTTATGGCATTTATTATTAATTATAGAAATTTTATTAATTATAAATGTTCATGGCGTATATCTGTTTTTCTTGTCGTAAATATTGATTTTGTAAATGGTGAAAATGCTATTGGTGAATCGTCACTCATTTTGAGAAATGTGAAAACACACAATGTAATTTGCGATACAAAATAATATATCGATCGCGCGCGTATATATAGCGCATTTCATCATAATTTATGTACTAAATTTTTATTCATGTCAAATATTTACAAATGTAGCAATTATATTGTCAAACCGCAATTCATGTACCGTAGCAATACGTTGTTTATATTTCGCGCACATTGTCTCATTGTGCGGCGTAAATTGAAAGGAATCAACCGAGTGCAAATTAAAAGCCTTTCATCGATCCACTTGAAACACGCGTTATCGAATGCAAATGCAAAGGTGTGGCAATCTGATTCAATTCAAGTAACACACTTTTAATCGTAAAGCAACATCTGTTCATATGTTATTTCATACGCTACCCACGTGATCGCGAAGGAAAACGGAATTGTGTTTGAAATATCGTTGTGCGCGCGCGCTACCGAGTAGGAGCAAACTTGCTAAATGTTAGTGCCGTTGCTGTCTTTGTGCCAAGACGGAACAATTCTATGGAGTCGATTACGGTCAGTCGGTGTAGCTAATCGCCAATTTCATAATCGCCCATTAGTGCTCCGGTTATAAAGGACCGTTAGATCGCGAAGTATGGCCGTAATGTAAGCTAATTCCGCAACCGTTATGGATCCAAGTAATTCGGTTGGGGCTATGAGCGAGGTGCATAAGCGCTGTTAAGTTGCATAATGTGACCTGCATTTAGCGTTGACCATTAGCCCCGAAATTGGAGCGAGCATAACGTATGACTTGATGCGTCAAAGGCGACAGAGTATAATTTATGGCGACAGAGTAAAAGATTGATGTACTAAACGAATAAAAATGTATGTGATAAAATGAATAAAAATAATTCATCTGAATGTAAAAACAGTGTTATTTGTTGAAGTACCGTTCTTAAGTATTCCGAGTAAATATCACGCAGTTTCACAATCTTGGAGATTTCTTCGGTTCTCGATAATTAAATACGAATTATATAATAATCTTTGGCGCAATTAAAATTGTACCCGATGCGTACAGTGAAAAACTGATTACACACAACGCCGGTACGTCGTTAAATTGATCGACGAGACTAATCATCCATCTTCTGACTAATGACTTGTTTATGAAAGTTTCTTATGACGCGAATCAATCTTATCCTTCATAGACACTGCTAAACTAGGTGGATAAGCACGGCGGAGCGCGAAGACTACCGCTCTCTCCGTCCGGCGAGCCGGGCAACGTGTCGCGACTAATGGGGTGAAAATCACTTAACCCCTCGTCAGTGCGCCCCGAACGCGCGTTATTCAATTCGCGCTTAAGCCAACGATAATAACATCAGCCGGCAGCAGGCGGCGCGCGAAGTCGAGGGCTGACGTAGCGTTGAAGATTTACGGGCACCGGCCGGGGCATGCATCCTGTATGAATGGCGGGGCAGCTTGTAATAATTCAACTCCGCGGCCACACCTCGGCCACTTCCCGTCTGCAGTCTGGCAGGGCACGACCACCGAGCGGACTGCTGTACTCCGCTGCGGAGGGATTTCCGGTAGCTGCGCGGTCGACATCTCTCCTCCTCCCTTCGCAGCCTCCCCCGTGCGCGCCTTCTCTGTCCCGCCGCCCCGAATCGCCTCTCACTCCCTCTCTCGCTTCTCGCGAAGTGACACGCGCACATGCATTCACGTACGTTCTCTCTCTCGTTCGCTCTCCCATCGTTCCCCTCCTCCCCCCCCCGCCTC